GTCAAAGTCTGCTGGTCTGCTTCCTTTCTTCAGGATCCTGAATTCAGTCATCTTGTGGCTGCTGCTGCCCAAGTTGCCAATCCACTACTACCTTCCCTACCAGTTCTTCCCCGTTTGTGAGCTGCAGGTCAAGAAGAGCATGGCCCCTAGTTGGCTTCTCTAACACTTGCACCAGGCATTTGCTTAAATGCCTCTTCCTGGCAACATATTGTGTATTTGCATAGTGAATTTAGAATAGTCTAGGGGCTGTGAATAGAGAGAATTTTTCCCTATGCATGTAATAAAGGGTTGTTCAGAGATTTATTTTTAAATGGGCTTCTGGAAGAAGGGAGGAAGGTTTTGCAGTTAACTATGTCAGTGATTAAAAGCTGCTATGATCCAGGTTGTTGTTTTGTAATTAATTTCTACCTGGATATGAAGATGGCAGTTGTCAAACCAATATTAAATATAGCTCACAGTTTTTATAGACTTTATAATGTACTATTATATTGGTACAACTGAAAAGGGTATACTAAGCAAGGAATCTGCCTGGGTAATGGTGGTCCATAAACAGCAACCAAGACAGCAGTAGTGCAAGCATATTTTCAGTATTATGTTTTTTGCAGAAAATGTACCAAAGAGGAAAGAACAAGCATCCTTAAAGTATATTGGTATTAGTGATGAAAACAATTTGTTGTACAATATATCTAAAATTAATGACTTATGTTTGTTAAACTACAGCTTGTCTGGATTGAAACTCCCTCAAATCCCATGTTGAAGGTTATTGACATTCAAAGCTGTGCAGATGCTGTCCACAAACATAAAGACATTATTTTAGTGATAGACAACACCTTTATGTCAGCATATTTCCAGGTAAGCTGATTAAGTGTTTGAAATAATGAGAAGGTGAGTACATGGTACTTTTTTTTAAATTCCTTTCAAAGTCAGAAAAATCAGAAGCCAAAGCACTTTAAATGACTTTAATGGTAACTCGGTATATTTTGTTTGTTCTTTTTCTAATATTTTGAAAACAAAAATGGTTGCATGGATGAATAAATAGATAAATAAAGAATGGACTTGATTTGGTGCAATTTTAACTTCACCAGCACAGTGGTGGAGTTAATGTAGTTATTTCCACTCCAAATAAAAACTATTATGTTTTTAATTTATAAATGGTAGGACTGCTAACTGAATTAACATGGTATTTTATATAACTTCCTAATTCAGGTAATGTTATAGCTAATTCTTCTTTGTGTGCCTGAACTATTCTCATCCTAATTGTTTTTTCTGTGATTTTCTTTGGGGCCGGATAACATTTTTTCTTTAATAAGTGTAACTCTATAATCTTATTGATTCAGGAGAATAAAAGAGGAAAATGTATTAACAGCATAAATCCAACAGTGTTCAGATTCATGTCATTTGAAATGTTAAAGGAATGTTTAACCTGAAGGTCACACAATCTTTAATTAATGTTTGTGGCAATCTGGAAAGTGTTATTGGCCACTGAAATCTCTCAAGTCTTTCTATTTATGTAATATCCTTTTGTATGTTTCTATTTTCCATATTAAAAATTAAAGTATAAGGTTTATTAACCATTGGAAATATCATTTAATTCATGCCAAGCTGCACACAGTCACATATATATTCTCCTGAAGACTTCACTAATTCACTGCATTATAGGTATGCACAGGATTTTTCATTTTTCACTTTGTTTTCGACTTGTTTTAAAGCCAGTTTTCTTCAAAAATTCAGTGAATCTTACAGAATAAGATTCACTGTTTGACTGCAATACTGGAAAAGTCTGTACAAAAATCAAGGTTAGAATATTTGGTACTGTCCAGATAATACCTCATTCTTCCTTCAGGGCACTGACTCAAAGCTCATAAGCCTTATGGTTAAACATATACTTAAGTGCTTTTCTGAAGTCTTAGTTTGTCCTGCACACATCAAAGGTTTACTGAGTCACTTTGGCAAGACTCTGTATGGCATTGTGTTGAAGCAGCAAGTTAAATGTATGAAAACAAATCTGGCTCATGTATTTTTTATTGATGTGATCACAAGAGAGAACCAATTTATAGCGATTAACTGTGTAGGATTGCCTAACAGGCAATATTAGATAACATATCATAGAAGTAGGGTCAGAAGGGACCTTGTAGATCTTCAAGTCTGACCCCCTGCCTGGGCAGGAATAAAATTGGGCTCAAATGACTCCAGCCAGGTAGGCATCAAGCCTCTTCTTAAAGGCCCCCAGGGTAGGAGCCAGCATCACTTTGCTTGAAAGTTGGTTCCAGATCCTAGCCGCCCTGACTGTGAAGTAGTTCTTACAGATGTCTAATCTAAACCTATTCTTCAACAACTTGTAGCCATTATTCCTTGTTATGCCAGGGGTCACTAGGGGAAACAAGGTCTCTCCCAAACCCTTCTGGTCTCCCTAGTGAGTTTATAGACGGTTGCCAGGTCCCCCCTCAGCCTTCTCTTGTGAAGGCTGAACAGGTTCAGGTCCCACAGTCTCTCATTGTAGCGTCTGCCCTGTTGTCCCTGGATCATGCGGGTGGCCCTCCTCTGGACCCTCTCAATGTTGTCCACATCCCTCCTGAAGTGGGGCGCACAGAACTGGACACATTACTCCAGCTGTG